ACTTTTGACACCTTTGTACCGTTAGATAGATAAACAAAACCTTCTCTTCGTTCAAGAGATGTCGTCGGGATGTCTACCCTCTTGAAAAACACAAATCCTCAGACAGACAAACCGTTGGGTGTTAATCATAATGATTAGTGATTTAATTTTCAGGTTTTGTTCATTAATTAAACAATCTTACATCAACAATAGAGTGATAAAGTTTATTTTATATTTAACAAATATATCTGTAAATTTAGGACAGTTTTGCGTGAAATAAAGAAATTGATGAAAATCTTGTCCCGGTTTATGTATCAATGAATCCTAATTTTTATTACACCAATTCTATGGCTTTACAGTTTCAAAATAGTGTGGCAAAGTTTGTTTAATATTTAAAAGTATATATTAGTGAATTTGGGATACTTTTATTTAAAATAAAAATAAAGCGGCTAAAATTTTGTATAAATGGACTTACGGTTTCAGAAGTCGGAATACAATCACGAATTCGAAACAAATGAATAAAATTAAATAAGATTCGTATGTCCCCTATTTTTGAAACTATCAGAAAATGAAAACATAGGTGCTCCAGCAGTAGAAAAAAAATTGTCTGCACCAGACCTAAATTGTAAGAAACTATTGATTATCCCCCTGTCTGATCATAACCTATTAGAATATCCTACCAAATTTTGTAAGGTTGATTTTCAACTATTAGTAACTTATAGTGCCCTCAGGATGTTAGATGTTAGGGTGGGGTGGAGGTGGGGGTAGGGCCTGTAGAAGAAACTTCTGTATTGTGAACAATTCCCAATCCATCTCAAAGAAACCTATGTTTTAGCACAAGTTTATCTTATTAATTGGTTTTTGTCTGTTTATGTGTGGTGGGTTCGCGTGTTCGATTCTTTCATTGGCGGAGAAAGTCCATCGGGATTTTCCGGCGTAGTTTTCCCTTGTCATTGGTGCAGGATGGAGGGCCTGGCAATGACAGCTGTATGGTTGTTCGAGTGGGACGAAAAACCGAGGACCCGTGTATACATTGGCGTGTACGTAAAAGATCCCTTGGCAGTAGGAATTCGATATAAGAGTAGACCATAGTGCCGCTGCCCTCATAGCACACTGTATGGCGTATACCCGTCTTCATTAACCCAGTCGGAGCAGAACAGTAGGACGTTAAACCCCATTCCATTTCATTTCATGTGTGGAGGGGTTCTCGAGTATGCCCAATCAGCGTTGGCCGAATGATATTCCAGGCTCATTGCAGATTATACCTGCTTGCATCCAATACTTTTTGCCAACAAATACTCCTTTGGCAACAAGACCGACAAAAGACGATTTGATATTGTTTTCTGGCCAGACTTTGGGATGCGACTTTATTCTCTTTCAATTCGATCTCAAATAATTTGTATACTATATATTTACACAAATTTTGTCAGTTTTGAAAATCATTGGCTCTCGCTGCTTCTGATCACTGTGTCAAGTTATTTTAAGTTGTAAATAAATGAAAGGGTGGGTTCTCTATTTCTTATAGTCTAAGTCACTATAAGGTCACTACAAAACAACAAATAGTACGTGATGTTGTTTTAAAAACGTGACCACGTTGTTAGAACATGGTAATTAACATTTTTATTTTTAACATTTTTTTCTCTATAGATGCGGAAGTAGGGAAGTAAATATTGACTTGTTGTGGCTTTTCAATGATAATTGTACTACCGTTAGTTTTACTAACAAATTCACAACTCTATGACAAGTAACTTGTCGTTGAGTTTTAAAAATTCACCGCCAAGTGAGAAACTTTGCACATCCTATGCGTGGACATACGTGATATCATAACATTCGTTTCGTATCTTTTAACAGTCTTTGATTTAACATAATTTCTCAACGAATTCAATTAGGAGATAATAACTGTAGGCTATTTGGGGAGGTTCATCTCCCACTTCACCATAAATTATTATTTAATCGTTCGTTCGTTCGTTCCTAGAGTTTTACGTCCACTTCCACCTAAGGTGGACGTAAAACTCTAGGATACTTCCACCTAAGGTGGACGTAAAACTCTAGGAACGAACGAACGATTAATCGGGCTGTATCACATTTATAGAAGGTCCGTAAGAAATATCTGGGGGTTTGGCACTTCGTTAAGCCTGGCGGTACTGCATTCATGTTTTGTTTACTTCCCTAATTAACCTGCATACCTAAAGTTCTATCTAGAAGGAATTTTGTTAATGCATCAACATTACCTTTAGCACGTCCCACGTGGACGTAAAAGATCTCCCCTGGCAGTTGTGATGCGATATAAGAGTAGGCCCTAGTGCAGCTGCTCCGACGAAGTTTCTCTCATAGCACACTGCATGGCGTATCCTTCTTCATTAGCCCAGTCGGAGCAGAACTGTAGGAAGTTAAACCCCATTTCATTTCATTTTAATTTTGTGTCTAGCTGTCAGGATGTGACAAAATACCACGGTCCACACGTCTACATAAAAGAACCTTTCGACCACAATTTCCCTAATAGCACATTGCAAGGTGTGTGAACATCTTCATTACTTCATTTAGTGCGTAAAAGTAAAACGCTAAATACCATTTCATTTAGAAAATTTATCATGTAGTTTTTCAATTGCAACAACGTGGGCAAATGTACTTTATGAAATATCGTATAATAAGGAATACTAAGTTATAGGAAACATACCAAATCTTTATGAAGTTGATCTAGCAAGTTGTCCATGGCGGTTTAAAACAAGTGTCTGGCATAAGTTCTGTATTTTACACGTTTTGTTCATTTTTAACTAAATATTACTCATTCCTATCACAACAGACAAGCTATAGGAATTTAATTATTGAATGAGAGAAGTACTCAACTTTTAACATTAACCATTCACGCTATGATGATTATCTTATTATGTGGAAGCGGACTTTAAACCCCACCTGTGAGGAGTAGCAGTAATCCAGTATATATTTAACGATTTACTACGTGATTGCTAGTATTTTATATATAGGGCATGTAATAGTAAAATGTTATAGTTACTACCTTTCAAATTTTTATTTATTTATTTTTTATCTTCAAATTTGAACGATTTATCATGATTGTTGTGTATCGTAGGCCTTAACGCCCGGACATTATACAATTTTATTTTTTAATTGTATTGTTATTGTACAGTGTGTGACACATAAATAAAACAATTATTTTTCTTCTTCTGTTATGTTTGTATATAGTTGTTTAATAATGAGACTCTTTGATAAACCTTTTTTTTGCATTGTTGATTATATATTTTATTATGTTATTTGTAATCAGAGAGAGAGAGAGAGAGAGAGAGAGAGAGTGTGTTCAATGTCCACTCGACAAAAACTGGGTCATTTCGGGACTAAGACCAAGTTCAATTTTATTTCAATAATTCGCTTGCGCGTAGGGGTCTTTAGCAGTGGGTGGAAACCGGAGGACCTTGTGAAAACCTACGAAGTTGAACAGACGATCCTACTCCTTTTCACGTACAACCGGGGTATCGATTCTACGCCAGTTGACTCAATGACAGACCTTATGATACAGCGCGCACGTGCTAACCATTCGGCCATCCAACGCCCCTATTTATAATAAATTTTTGATATTGCTGTACATGTATATTACCGATTGTATATATGTATATTAATTATAATATTATATTTCCCCTGTATTTTTATGTGTTTCGTAAATAAACTATTTAAAATCAATAGAGTATATTCCAGATACCATATAATTAATTGATGTAATATGTATATCGACTAGGTGTATATTTATTTGATTTGTAAAGAATAAAATAAAAGATTTAATCAAATAAAAAATATAATAAAGTAGCGTTATTATACAGCTTACAACCGATAACAAAATTTACTAAACTTTACAAAGTTCATTTTTCATCAATTGTACGATTTCCGTTTGATTTTTTTTTTCTTTTTTTTTTAGGGGGGGGGGGGTAAATTAATTAGGATTTACTTGTACTCGGTGACACTTGGTCTGTATTATATCCACAGTTTAGCTCTAGACACATGCTGTTATATAATAGTATTACTCCAACCAACCTTCTTCACACCGTTTATCTATAGATGTTATTACAGAGAAATACCTTTATCTCTTTCATCCTAGTTTACTCCGGAAATTACTTTACTAAATAAATTCTCTCCTTCAAATAAATGATCAAAGGATAGGACAATAAGTATGATAAGAAAACATAATAGACAAGTATATCAAAGATTGTTTACATGGTAAGCAATCGTGACATCATTATACACGTACTGTAGAACGGTAGCTTTCTAAGTGTTATATCATACTACAGCCGCTTAATTTGGCCAAGATGTGTTTGGGTAAGACAACTCCACAGAGGTGTATATATTGTCAATATATACACCTCCATGCATAGCTCGCATTTAATCGGGTCTAACTGGATCATAACAGCGAATTTACTCTTTGTGCTCCTTTTGCTTTCCTGTCCTGGACCCGACCTTTTTGGCACCGATTCCTTGGAAACATTAAGGGTACATAGTTTTCGATAGATGAAAGGGTAGTGGTAATGGTTTCTAGGCCTATCACTGAAGAGTTTACCAGGGAAATAAAAATGTAATTGATTATTGTCATTATCGGAAATTACGCCATTGGCATTGGAAAGGACAAAGTATAAGCTAATGTTTTAAATTTAAAAAATAAGTTACGTTATAATAAGAATTATAATTTATTTATTGAACAAGTAGACAGTTTTGTCAATTTGTCAATTGAAAATTTATCTGAAAATGAAAAAAATAAATAATAAAAAAAAAATTGTTAGCCAGTCTGATTTTTCCTTTAGTAGTAGGTGGACCAAGTGTCTATCTTCTAACTAAAGTAAAATGCTTGCTGCCTTGCTGGTTTGATTTATTCCTTACGCAGTTATTTGTAATTCATCACAACATCAGATAAGACAGTGACAAACAATACAGACTACACACGCCCTTGACTGATTTGACAATAAAAGAATTTACAACCCCATCGCTCTTAAATACTTGACACTCTTAAAATGAATCACTGCCGCATATTCATAAAGGGGAGTAACTCCACTGATATCTCCGGTCGGAAAAGATGGCGGACTCCAGACAAAGGCAATTTACGAATCCAGAACAGCCGGGTTATGTCGGATTTGCTAATCTTCCAAATCAAGTTCACAGAAAATCTGTGAAAAGAGGATTCGAGTTTACGTTAATGGTGGTCGGAGAATCTGGTTTAGGCAAATCGACTCTAGTAAACAGTCTATTTTTGACAGATTTGTACCCAGACCGAGTGATTCCTTCAGCTCTCGAGAAAATTAAGCAGACGGTGCGAATTGATGCCTCAACGGTGGAGATAGAAGAACGTGGAGTAAAACTAAGATTAACCGTTGTAGATACTCCAGGTTTTGGCGATTCTTTGAACTCTGCAGATTGTTTCATACCCATTATACAATACATCGACGATCAATTCGAAAGATTCTTAAATGACGAGAGCGGTCTCAACAGACGTCACATTACTGACAATCGAGTTCACTGCTGTTTTTATTTCGTTAATCCATCAGGACATGGGTTGAAACCACATGACATCGCATTTATGCGAGCTGTGCATCATAAAGTCAACATTGTACCGGTTATTGCCAAAGCCGACACCCTGACCAAACAAGAAGTCTTCAATTTAAAGAGAAAGATATTGGATCAAATAGATGAATGTGGAATCAACATCTATTCTCTTCCTGATTGTGAATCTGATGAAGATGAAGATTTTAAAGAACAGTCCAAGCAGTTGCGGTCGGCTGTTCCTTTTGCTGTTATTGGTGCCAACACAGTTATTGAAGTGAAAAGTCGCAAGGTCAGAGGTCGAATGTATCCTTGGGGAGTTGTGGAAGTGGAGAATCCAGAACATTGTGATTTTATTAAACTTAGAACAATGTTGATCACTCACATGCAGGACCTGCAAGAAGTAACCCAAGAAATCCATTATGAGAATTATAGAGCTCAGAAGATTGAAAAGGGTGAACCTGTTAAAAAACCAAGAGGAACTCTAACTCAGACAGATAGTGATCGAGAGAAGGAACTGAGAGATAAAGATGCTGAGATTCAGAGAATGCAGCAGATGCTGGCTAAGATGCAGGCAGAGATGTCTCAACAAAAAGCTGTTCAAAATGGAGACAGCAAGGCTCAAGATGTGACAGTCTAGTCAGATATTATCATCCTATATTAAACCGCATGAATTAATCAAACACACCGATATATTTTCTTTATGAGTAGTTTACACTGCACAATATTTATAATATTATTATATATTTAATGCTATTTAGTCTTATTGCTTGCCTATATTATTTATTTCATACTGTAAATGTACTTAATATCAACTTCCGGAATCTGAAGACAATGTTGTCACAATTTATATAAATATTTTATTTTGTAAACTTAAAATTTGTATGTTGTTATATAAAAGCCAAAAGAATGCATCTGAAGTGAGTATTTGGTCAGTGTTGTAAATCAAGTAAGAATCAGATTTGTTTAATTGAATGATATTGAATGTTTCTAAATTTGTTTTTACCAGTTAAACGTACCCAAGTCATTAGTATGGTAGTTCTATTTGAATATTGTTGTTTATGATTGTCAGTATGGTATAATTAACAGTGGTGGATCCAGGCAGGGTTCCTAGGGGGCCTGAACCCCCTAAGTGACTGTATAGAAATCATTTATTATTCTGTTTCAATGAAACGTGTAAATTTGTGCATGTTGTTGGCTAGGGTGATGTAGCTGATAAGAAATTGAATGTTATATTTGGGTCCAAACTTTCTTGGAGAAACAACCCCTCTGCCCGCCCCCCCCCCCCCATTTACCTAATATCCTGTATCCATCACTGATTAATTATTTTACCTGTAGTTTAAATGTCGACAATACATGTATGTGTGTAACTCCTCTCCATACTTTTATGTGTGTAATTCTACTACAATACTTTAATGTAAGAATGCAGTTTGTTGTATAAAAACGTTTCATTAACCGTTCACCCTTCAATAACTAGAGCTCCTTCGAACACCCAAACCGCTTGAGTCGTGTGAATAGATGCAGCACCCCCAGGAACTAATATACGATCCTACAACATGGAGATCTATTCACAAATCTCTGGCAGTTTGAGGTGGTCTATGGAACAGTGGAATTGGATGGGTACTCAATATTTACATATACCAAGTGCTAAAAGATTAAGCTATAGCCTACATATCATTGTTAGAATGAGGAATATAAACAATTAAATATCATCCATAATACTTAATAAGTCAATAGTCCTATATCTATGCTACATGGATGTCAGTTTCCTGAACTTCAATGAATTTCCTGTTATAAATTTGAATTTTGTGGCATGTACTGAACCTATAGTAAGAGTTTCCTTATTGAAAATCTTTTAAAGGAAGATAGGAAATGCATGACCTATATACTGTATGTTATTTGCTAATTGCTATGTAATGGAGTGATTTTTTTTATAAATGATCTTATATTTTTCAACATGAATGGGTCCAATAGCTTAACGTGTAGCCTGTGTTCAAAGTTATGGACATGACTCATATTACTAATGACTATAAGAGTTTGAAACTCTAGTAAACATTGATATACATCAACAAATGAAGTATGAAGTATGTAAATAATTAACTTATTTTTCTAACTAGAAATAATATTCAAAATAAAACATTGGTCTCTTTAAAGCATAATATTAATTCAATTGTGTTCAAAGGTCCAACAATTACTTAATTAAAATCTTTTTAAAACTAACAATTAATCAAACTGTTATTTATATGAACAGCATTCCTACAGTACCCGGTTTTTCATTTTATATTGTTGTTTGGCTAATTGTTAATGTTTAATGTGGTCTTTTTTTTCATTTTTTTTACATTTGATGTATTTTATTACATTTATGTTCTGAATGCTGCCTCTGGTAGGCGCCTCTTTTGTTACAATTATTATTATAGTCACTATGTTTTTGCGTGCATTATTATGTAGTTGCGTATGTTTATTGTAGTTTTATCCATGTTTTTTATCTCTATTTTGTATGCTGCCAATTTAAGGCTTCTCATATTATTATTATTATTATTCCAACCTTCTTTCATTTTATTCCAAAACATTTTATGTATTTTTAATTTAATTGTATTTGATACAATAAATTATCTTATCTTACTTTCTTAGCTTTTTCTTTTCTTTGGATAAAGGGACTGGACAACTTCGGATTTTCATGATTCTAGCTACAATTTGATAATTTCAATTTTTCAGACATTGTACAATTTTGTGTTTATTTCACACTAAAATGTCCTCAAATTGATTATATAACATTTAAGCTTATTTAGGAACATGAAATCAAAATATCAACACTAAACAATCTCCCTGCATGGATTCAATGGAATTAAAAAGAAGCCCATCAAAAGTTTTACCCAACACTTACAGGTGGCACTGGTTTGTTCATATCATCTACTGGAAATGCTGAATGTTGGGAAATTTTCAATTTAGCATAACTTTAAAATACTGAACAGAAATGAAAGATTTGTGGACCTATATTCCTGTTAGTGATTCAACTTTTACACTATTGAAGCCTGCAAAATTGCAGGACAAATGTCCTGACAAGGACAACTGTCTAGTCATCCGGATGGGTTGAAAACCCAAGGTCCTGTGCACAGCAGTTAAACCCCATTTCATTGCATTTCAGTCTGCAAAATAATTCAAAATTTCGCAGTTGAAGAAGTCAGTTGCTTTTAGTGAAAGTTGCAAGCTGTTAATAACAGCCATGATTTATACTATATCAAACTAAAAGATTATTCAGTTGATCAAATGATAAGTTATAAATGTATTTCATGGTCCGTGACCAAAACCCATTAGCGTAATTCTCTTTGATCTGACCGTCTGTGAAGAAGGCTTCGATATTGGATTGGGGATATAATTGTCCCTTAAATCAACTACAAACATACACAGAGACATGGCTTATATAACATGTACAGGTGGGAACACCCTTTTAAAGGTTTATGGGATATAAATAAAGTACACGGGGGTACTAGTTAATCAAATTATACCGCGTGGTCATTTCTAGCGCGGTTAGATATAAAGGATACAACATTATAAATCAAATTAATTTTAAAACAACTAGGGATAGACGTATTAATGCAGTGAATAAAACCATATGGTACGATCTTATATAATTTGAAAGTGCGCGACGTTACCAAGGCAAATTATCTTGACAGCCAGAAATGAAATGAAATGGGGTTTAACATCGCACTCTAAATAACACATCAACCGGGTAAAAATGCATTATGTAAGATTTGGATAAAGAGCTGTCTGTTCTTGCTATAATAGTTCAAAAATAGATAATGAAAAATGAATATATATAACACTATAGGTTTATTTTAGGTTAAAGAAAAGTGTTTTGTTTAATATAGAAATCTTTACCTACATGATGTGTGACAAAAATTAGGTTAATGAAGTAGCTTGCATTACTCTGCTACTATCTTAGTCTAACTCACAGACAATCATTCAGTGCTCAGGGGATCACCATACCTTTAGCCTCCTCGGCTTAGAGGCTAGGGCGAACACATCATCCTGGCGCGAACCTTATGTAGAACTAACAAGAAGTATGTGGCTCTTGCCACGTTTAAGCCGTTAGGTTGAGTTAGAAAGGGTATTAAACTCAGACCGTGGAGATTTTAATAACTCGAAAAGTAACTATCATAGATATTGTAGTTTCGTGTATGTAACCGTTGTAGTTTGCTGTATTCGTTAGATAAACTTAGTAACAACATATACGGCGTTCCAGAGTCAATTAATTGATGATTGAGATAATTCACCCAACAACGTGAAGTCCAAGCAAGGTCCTAGACGCTCATCTGTCCCCATAGTGTCACATATAATTCCTTTTTGGTACCGCGACACAGGATATTGTCACATATAATTCCTTTTTGGTACCGCGACACAGGATAGTGTCACATATATTAAAAATTTTATTCAAATTATTTTTTCTGAGCCAAGTTATCACCGTTTATAGTTTTGACAAGATGTGTACATTGAATGTTTATTATCGTAACAACAGTAGTGATACATTCGACTCTTAGCCTCACTTCTCCATTATTAAATTAAATCATTAAATTTTTCTAATCTCGTTAAAGGCCTAAAGAAAGACCCGCGATAGGCAAATATACTTAGCAAACAGTAAAGTAATACAGCAGGAACAAAACAATATAGGCCTTTTCATCAAAGTCAGAGAAGTTGGGGAAAGATTAAAAATAGAGATTTCTTGACGAAACGTCGCTCAGTAACAAACATTATATTCGTTGCAGGGGGACTACACTACACAAAATTTATACAAAAACAAATACGCGGACAGGAAATCGTACTCAGGAAAACACAAACATACAGACAATTCAAAAAAAATGTGCCCGGATTAGCTATGATGGGGCTTTGAGCATGCTGAGACCCTAACCTAACCCAAGTAACCACAACTTAGCCTGTATTATTTCACACACATGGATGTAACTATACTAATGTCTAAGAGAAAGTATACACTGTGCATTTTGTGCTGCATCAACCAAAGTCGTTTTTCCATGGTAGGCCTATACAGTATTTGGGTAGAATGTCAATTTGTTTCACATTTTTATTTTGCTTAGAAATGTTGAGTTTGGACGCAAGAGACAAACTCAGTAATGCTTTATCAAATGTTTTTAATCTAAACAAAACTTAGTCATACTTTTAGTGTGTATACTTTCTTTTGGACATCAGTATAAATCAAACCTAATTTGAAGTCGGCCAATCTGATTAAAACACAGATCCTATTTCATTTCGTTTTTTTCTAGTTTAAAATTTCGTTTTACTTGTCTTTACTACGCCATGATCTGGAAGAATAGTTATATAACCTGTGTTTTGGTTGATGTGAAGGATTAGCCAATGAAACGGTCTGTTGCAGCAGTTCATAGCGTGAGATGCACGAAACTGTGGGTATCCTACCCAAAAAACCCCAACGCTGATTGGTTAATCAAATGTCTAACGTCATAGGGTCAAAAACCGCTCGTATGACCCCTGACGCGACCCCCACTACAAGTCATCTTAAATCGAAGCCATTTCTTCTATGCCACGATCCCCGCCGGTAGGAGAATCACTACCGATAGGAGACACGCCTACTCAAACAACTACGTGAAGGCTGATCTATGATAGACATAAAAACAAACCGGCCGCAACACTCGCATTTGTCTGCGATATCACCTCGGTGGAAGCGGACGTAAAACACAACTAACAAGTAGTAAACACTCGCATAAATGAATCATAACGTTTACAATTCCCGCAAAAATCCTCATCCTAGCCTGATCCAATATCGTAAGTAATGTAGTCTATACAGTAAATACATATATTTTATACACACTAAATTATCAAATAATTATAGTCTAGAGGCTAAACGTCGACCCCCCCCCCCCCAAAAAAAAAAAAAAAAAAACAAAACAAAAAAAACACGGATACCTTTTCGAAAGTACGACGAGGACGATTTCGAAAGTACGACGAGGACGAGGCATCATCGGTAACACCGATTTCTCGGATTTCAACCGAGACACGGGCCACCATGGATTGAATAGGAAGGGGCGCCAAATGTCCAAGACTGATAATCCTACGGGTCGAGGGTACCATCGCTGCCAATAACAGATGGAGTCCTAGGGCCGACCATATACGTCGTTTTTTTGCGCAACTGAGAATTTTTCTCTTTTTTTTTGGAAGGGGGGGGGGGGTGCTAATCCGGCGCTGTGTAGGCTATACGTTCAGTAGGCATATACCAACTATAATTATTCCATCATTGAAGGGACAAGGTTCTTTCCCAAATCAAATAAATACCCTTATATCTATGATATCGTTTTCAAAATAAGCAACAATATATATACAATACACAGCATAATATAATATTTTTAAAACAAAAATTATTTTGCCGATGTAAGACGAAACGACCGTAATACAGTTTAAAAGCCGAGATTAAAAAATACCACACTCTGTGCAAGGGAGATAACAACATTTTAAGGCGTGGCGTTAAAGAGAAGTTGTTCTTTCTCCAAGAAATAATTCGACACAAATTAGAAAAATCAAGATTGAATTTGCAATAAAAATACACAATAACACTAAATACAAATTAGGACACACCTAGTAGTATAATAAACAACTGTTTTTGTTTTTAGTATTTTTATTACCGGTACTCGAATATAAAGTTAAACGCAAATAAAATGCGCTTGATGTTTTGTTTCTTTTTATTAAATTTTAGCTGTTGAAAATGTCCTAACTGAGCAACTGCAAGTTAAAATATGTATTCCATTTAAAACTATATGTTATGTCATGCTTATAGTCGTTTTAAAGTCGTATTGCAATATATTATAGAGAATTTTGTGTGGATTTGAATTGAAACATGAGCGCACACAAAAAGCTTTTGAAACACTGAAATTTGCTAAATAACATTTGATTAACAATAAAAACATTTATTAAAATAGAAACATAAAGATTACAGTAGTCTCTGGGAAATTATTATTCAAAAATAACTTTTGAGGTCGTCACTTTTTTTAAAATTCATTCGGAATACTGGATCGTGTTCTAACAAATTGCGCATGCTCAGAGATCTGATTCGCCAAACAATGAGATCATTGACCATGCGCGGGTTAAACCACGTGCTCGGAAGTTCCGATTGAAGACGACATGTGCGCGAAGTAGCGGTGAAAACAGAAAAAGGCATTGTGAATTAAAGAACTAGTTCAAAATTGAAAATGGCTGACGAAATGGAAGCTACACCAAGTACCACCAGTCCTGAAAAACCAGAGGCTGCAAACAATCCCGATGATATGACGTCTAAGGACTATTATTTTGATTCCTATGCACATTTTGGAATCCATGAGGAGATGTTGAAAGATGAAGTAAGAACACTAACGTACAGAAACTCAATGTATTACAATAAACATTTATTCAAAGATAAAATAGTTTTAGATGTTGGCTGTGGCACTGGCATTCTGAGTATGTTTGCTGCAAAAGCTGGAGCCAAGAAAGTCATTGGAATTGAATGCTCAAGTATTATAGACTATGCTAAGAAAATAATAATTGACAACAAATTCGAGAACACCATAACACTCGTAAAAGGTAAAGTTGAAGAAGTTGTTCTGCCCGATGGTATCGAACATGTTGATATTATTATCAGTGAGTGGATGGGCTATTGTCTTTTCTACGAATCCATGTTGAATACCGTTATTCACGCAAGAGATAAGTGGTTGGCCCCTGGGGGTTTAATCTTTCCAGACAGAGCTACGCTGTACGTCTGCGGAATCGAAGATCGTCAGTATAAGGATGAGAAGATCAACTGGTGGGATAACGTCTATGGATTCGACATGAGTATTATTCGAGGAGTTGCCATAAACGAACCCCTGGTAGATGTCGTAGACCCGAAGCAAGTCGTGACCAATTCATGCCTCGTGAAGGAAGTTGATATCTACACCGTCAAAGTAGAGGATATGGTTTTCAACACGCCTTTCCATCTCCAATGTCGAAGAAGTGATTACTTACATGCTCTTGTCACATTTTTCAATATTGAATTTACTAAGTCGCACAAAAGGACTGGATTTTCAACAGCACCTGAAGCACCATACACTCACTGGAAGCAGACAGTGTTTTATCTAGGAGATAATGATTTAACCATTAAAAAGGGCGAAGAGATCAATGGAACCTTCTCTATGAAACCAAACCAACAAAATAATAGAGATTTGGATTTCCAAATAGACTTGGACTTTAAAGGAGAACTGTCTGAAATGACAGAATCCTTAAAGTATAAAATGCGCTAGTTACTGTGATCAATAGGGACAATTTAAATCTGTCTGCATTGTAAAAGTGAAGCCATTAGTTTGAGATCAGTTTTATAAATATAAATGTAATTCCCCGGCTTCAAATACCATGTACATGTATCATTCATCATATTTTCTTCTATTATAAATGTCATTTGGAAACTCTGAGAACTTTGTATAGTGTATAGCAATAAGCATGGATGCTGTTTTGTCCGTATATGTAGGATAATGTCCTACCTACGTGAGTCGGCAAACCTCTGACCAGGAATATGCTCAATAGAACATCAAGATATGGTGCGTTATATTCCGATTTCCCCCAAAAATTGACTGTGCTAAGGATGTAGCTATTTCTAATTTCGATTGTCCTTGATAATATGTATGATTCATTCATTCGCTCCTGTCGTTTTACATCTACTTCCACCAAAGGTGAAATCGTAACTATTTCTAATCTTGATTGTTCTTCAGGAATGATTGATTGAGTGATCAACCCTTTTATAGTGTTCAACACTAATTATTAAATTAACCCTGATTAAAAAATGTCGGACAAGCAAAATTTTGAAACAGCATCCCTGGTGTATAGTTATAGAAGGAAGGGGTGTCATAATTTCTGTATTAATAATTTAACATGTGCCATCCAGTTTGTGAGAGAGATATATAAACATGTTATCTATTTAATTGTCAATGGATTTTTTAGATGTAATTTTTAAAATGATTATATTGTTGTCTAGCATTCTATTAGTTTTGACAGATACCATTCTGAGTGTAAATAGTAGAATATCTTCCACTCTTCTTGTTTTGTACATACAAGTATGATCCATTGGTCCCCCACAAATATCCCAGTGATTAAAAAATAATTTTTACATTCTAGAATAAAATTTGGTTATCATACAGACGAACGTATATGTAAATAACCAATAATTGTTTTATTATTTTACATGTATGTAAACACAAGTGCTATAAAAGAAAGAAAAATCTGCTGGGGTAAATCATCAATAAATCATTACAATAATCATTTTCAGCTTTAATTGCATATTGTCATCTGTCAAACCTCGTGGGTTTTCTCCGGTTTCCTCGCACTGCTAAAGACCCCTACGTGCAAGCGATTATTGACATATAATTGAACCATATGTTAGTCCCGAAATGACCTAGTTTGTGTTGAGTGGACTGGACGTTAAACCCATCTCCCTCTCTTTATTGCATATCAGAGCCAAGATAGCTCAGTGTCTAAGGCTCACTGACCCTCTAAAAAGGAGTTTTTGATCCTGGTATTGGGGTATTTTTCAGTATGGTTGCCCATTGTGAGTGGCGGAGGGCTTTGCTAGGAACATCTTCTGGTTCTTCAGATGGGATAAGAAACCCAAGATCCTGTGTTGGTGAAGAAAAAAAGGATGTTTAAATCCATTTCATTCATTTCATTCATCTCATAACTACTGGTCGCATAATTTGAATTCAAAGAGATTTTTGAAGACTGTTCGATCAGATTTTTTTTCCTATGCATTATTCAATGTTAATTCAAAGTAATAAAATGTGATCAAATTTTTGTCCGGAGATATTTACTACACATGAATCTAGAATTATCTATTGTGAATTGTATTCCAATTAGCGTTCGATGTGGACCTTTAATTCTTATAGCATAAACTGGTCTGTGGAGGGATTTGGGACATTAGATGACTGTTTCAGTTGATGTATGGTGTTTTGTATTACCATACATACAGGAGGTGGAGTGACTGAATGGGTTAATACATGCATTTTAGATCATAAGGGCTGTCATTGAGTCAAGTGGCATGGTTTTGTTTCTTCGCTTGTGTGTGACCTGGAGTAGGGTCAATGTCGAATCTCATGGGTTTTCTCCTGGTTCTCCAGTTCCCTCCCACTATTAAAGACACCTACGTGCAAGCTTATCAAAATAAACCTGAACAATACGTTAGTCGCAAAATGACAGTTTGTGTCGAGTGGACATTAAATGCCCTGAAATGACCTAGTTAATGTTGATTGGATGTCAAACCCCGTTTTCTCCCTCCTAAAATGCAGACTATAACCAAAGTACTTGAAATTATACATGGAGTTGTCTCCCTTCAATAACTACATTACATTTTTATCGTCATGAGAGAAGTGTAATATGAAATAAAATGGGGTTCAGCGTCCTACTGGGCTCATGATGAAGGGCATCTGCCATGAAGTGTGCTTTGAGAGAAGGCCTAGTCTTATTTTGAATTCCAACTGACAAGAGTTCTTTTACATGTACACAATGTGTACACTTGACCTTGGTTTTTAGTCCAATCTGAATGACTATACGTTGTGCCTTGCCAGTCCCTCCGTCCTGCGTCACTAACAAGGAGGAACCACACCAGAAAATTACTGATGAACTTTCTTGGCCACAGCAGGGATCGAACATGGGACCTCCAGGTTAGCAAGCCACCGTGGCTCCCAGGTCTAATAGGTGTTGGAAGTAGGTACATGTTGTTCACAAGGCTAACTTTATAGAAAACATGGTTGCTCATTGAGTAAGGCAGTGGTTCACTGACAGTAAGTCCCAGGTTTGATTCCAGTGCTGGCGGAGAAAATTCCACTCTAGTTTCCAAGTTTGGTTTCTCCTCATTGGTGGTGTAGGATGGAGAGTATGGCAAGAAACAGAATCTACTTGTCAGGATGGTACATAAAAAAAAGGGTGTTGCGTATACTGTATACATTGACCAGTCAAAGACCCCTCGACAGTTCGAATTTGATGATGAGTTCCCAGGATCATCTGTCCAACTTCGTAGGTTTTCTATTGTTCTGCAGTTACCTCCCCCATTCTAAAGACCCGCGCAAACAACTTATTGAATATAAGTTATACAATATGTTAGTTACAGAATGACAAAGTTTGTTTTGAGTGATTTAAACCACATCTCTCGCCTTTTCCAAAAAAGATCCAGTCAAAAATGACTGTTGAACATATGATATCAGGAAACAAAACATGGACATAGCAGCTAAGTCTTCCAAAGCACAATACTTGAAGGACTTGATAATGGGCAATAACTCTGTAAGTAAAAATAAAAAAAGGTCCCACAAAAATAATCATTACAATCAAATCACATGATAAATTTTGTTTTTCAAAGTGATCTAGAGCATCCACAAGATTTTTCAAATCATTTAAAATTAGAATCAATAGGATTCTTCTTGATCCCAAGAAATAAACACTGTCATCGCTGGGTACAAATTCAAAACCAATCGGAAGGTAAGTTTTAGCCTCAAGAGTGTTAACAATTGTTTGTGGAAGGACAGAGATGTGACAAAATATAAAACCAAATTTCAATATGGACCTATACAAAAGGAATAGCTGGGGCGTATAAAGTGTATTTAATAAACCCTAAAATAATACTGACAATAGAGGATTGTTCAGTAAAACTATTTCAGTTTGTTACGAAAATATGAGTTTCTCTTTCTCCCTCTTCCCACCCCCGTGACTGCCACGTTCATGAATATAATGTGGACTACTCATTTAATTCTATATGTAACATTTAATTTATTCATATAATATCACAGTACATATAATTTACATTTCAAACACCCCATTACAATATTTCAAACTGCAAAACTGTTCTGTCTCTGTTTAATAAGATGACCACAATCAGCTTTCCAATTGGTAAAAGGGGAGATAACTCTAGTCCCGACCAGCAGTGTTGGTGAAACAATCAATCACAACCATAGTAACTCTTGCCTAAGTTCATCAGTAACAATAGATGTTGTATGGGTAACCGGTAAATCTTCAGCAATAATAGGAACAGTGGCATCTTCGTCATCTAATCCCTCTTCATCATCCTCTAACTGACATAATAGATTATCATTCTCGTATGTGGGAAAATAATACCTAAAAATAAACAATCAATAATACCTATAAACAATCAATAACATCTATAAACAATCAATAAATACCTATACTCAATCAATAAATAACTTTAAACAATCAACAATTAATACCTATAAAAAATAAATACCTATAAACAATCAATAAATACCTGTAAACAATCAATAAATACCTATAAACAATCAATAATATCTATAAACAATCAATAAATCAATACCTATAAACTATCAATAAATACCTATAAACAATCAATAAATACCTATAAACAATCAAAAATATCTATAAACAATCAAAAATATCTATAAACAATCAATAAATAAATACCTATAAACTATCAATAATGAAATGAAATGAAATGAAATGGGTTTTAAGTCCTACTGTTCTGCTCCTGTATGAAGACGGGCATACGCCATACAGTGTGCTATGAGGGAAATTTTGCCCGGGCAGCAGCACTATCGCCTACTCTTATATCGAATTCCATCTGCCAGGGGATCTTTTACGTGCATTCCAATATATAAATGGGACCTCGTTTTTTTCCGTCTCATCTGAAGGACTAGACAGCTGTCCTTGTCAGGCCCTCCGTCCTGCATCACTGACAAGGGGGAACCACGCCGGAAAATCTGGATGAACTTTCTTGGCCAATGCAGGGATCGAACACCCGACCTCCAGGCTAGCGAGCCAGCGTCTTACCCACTTAGCCACGTGATCCCCACTATCAATAATACCTATAAACAATCAATAAATAATACCTATAAAAACAATAATCAATCATATTGATTTTATACATAAAGGTTTAGAAACCTGATTATTGAAGGGGGTTGGATGGCCGAATGGTTAGCGTGTGCACACTGTATCAAAAGCTCTGTAACTTGTGTGGTTTCGATTTCCAGGTTGTACGTGACAAGGAGTTGGGTTGTCTGTCAATCCTCGTGGGTTTTCTCTGGCCCTCTGGTTTCCTCCCACTGCTAAAGACCCCTACACGCAAGTGAATTATTGAAATAAAATTGAACCATATGTTAGTTCTGAAATGACCTAGTTTGTATCGAGTGGACGTTAAACCCCATCTCTTTCTCTCTCTCTAAACAATCAATAATACCTATAAACAATCAATAATACCTATAAAAAAATCAATAAATACCTATAAAAAATAAAAAATATCTATAAACAAATAATCAATAAATAAATACCTATAAACAAATAATCAATAATACCTTAAAAACAATAATCAATCATATTGATTTTATACATGAAGGTTTAGAAACCTGATTATTGAAGATAAATAAATAAACATGCTGTAAGGATAAACTGTGCTTGAACTGATCAAAAGCAACTATGATTAAAGTTTCTATATCAGGGTCATAAAACACTAAACTGCAAGTATAAAGTAGTTAATAGGTACATTGGGTTAAAAAAGAGAGAGAAATGGGGTTTAATGTCCACTCTTTGGAAGGAACCTAGAGGATGAGTAAGCAACCTTATCCCTTATCACATACAAGCTTGGGATCGAAACTATGTCACATGACTAAATGACAGACAGTATGATCTAAAGCACACCCATTAAACCATACAAGCCGCCACTCATAATCTCTTCACTAATATAGTAGCCAAGCTGGCTCAGTGGGTAGGATGTTGGCTCGTTAACCTGGAGGTCCCGTCGACGTTGGCTGAGAAAGTTCATCAGGATTTACTGGCGGGGTCCCTCCTTGTAAGTGGTGCAGAACAGAGAGCCTGGCAAGAACAGTGTATAGTCATTTGGATGGGACGAAAAAACCAAGAAGCTTGGAGATCTTGGAGCCCGTTCTGGTGGACTGCATCACACATAGAACAACCAATAACATGACAAGCACCAAATGCTTATCAGATTATAGTTCAAATGAGATGGAGTTTAACATCCTACTTTGCTGCACCAAATGGGCTAATAAAGACAGGCTATTGATGACAGGCATGTCCTATAAGGAAAATTTGTCGGAACAGTGGTGCTATGGCCTGTTTAGAATTCCATCATCAGAGAATTCTTTTACATGCAAAAATCCTGAGATCGTATGTAAACCTTGCTGTGCACATGTAAGAAATAAGAAGAGTGAACAGTTGGAATTAGATGGAAAAGTAGACAGACATGCTGCTGTTCAGGCAAAATGTCACTCATAGTCCACATCATGGCATATCATTATCTTCATTATTCTGATTGGTGCGGAAAAATAGGACGTTAAACCCCATTTCATTTCAAAAGCCTCGTTTATTTGTAGAAATGATGTTTTGAATATCGTAAGACTGTCGCAGATAATGACTTTTGGTTAACATTATAAATTGATGACAAATGTCTAATGAAGAAAACTATGTGGGCAAAATCCATTAAGTCGGGAGGATAGCATGTTCTTAATGAAGGCTGGGCATGATTGACAGGTGACCACGCACATAAAAGAATTCTTGACAGTTGCAAATTCGAAAATAAGATTAGTCCGTAGCGCCGCTCTCCGAGGAAAATTACCCTGCACTGTGTGTTGCTGTCTTAACCGAGTCGGAGATGAACAGTAGGATTTTAAACCCCATTTCATTTGGTTTTTGACTTACTGAGGTTGGTCCCATACACTAACTGGAGGTATTTTAGATGTATGACCAGTTGTATGCATATGATCTAGTAATGTCTGTTTATTCTCTAATTCTTCATGACAACCATAACACAAACATTGATATACCTGAAATATATAGCACGAACATTGATATACCTGAAGATATATAACATAACACAGACATTGATATACCTGAAGATATACTCTTAAAAAAAGGTAGGGGATATTGAAATGCAAATACCTATGCAGGTTGTGATATGATAAATAGTCATGGACACTTGACATGCTTTGAGAGTATGTCACAGACGAAGAACTTATCGCTCCAACAGAACCACTGAGCTGCCCATGCGACACGCAATAGCGCCATACACGTGGGAGGGGTTCATTGACAAATTTGACACTTCAAGGAAGGGTTGATGAAAACTGCTGCTTGCTGGTTTATCCTATCCGTGTTTGCTTTCCTATCGGTTCTTTCATAAGATATACTGTTTAGCGTGAGATGTGTTTGTCAACGTCAAAGTCAACCGACAACACTGCAAAAATTAGCCGTGGCACTGCAGGAGGAGTGGGTCAGATTGCCCCAAATCGTGATTGGACGTTTAATTAGGAGCATGCCACGACGAATTGCTGAATGTCTGAGGATTGATGGAGCAATTACTCATTAAGACAAAAATCAAAAACGTCCATTTTCACTTTTGACGGTGTATCTCTTTGCGAGTGAAATGGGGCCATCAGATAATCCGCCCATATGAACTGTTTATATTTATGTGTAGGCAATTGGTCTGTTATTAACATACACTGGTTACCTCTAATAAAAACAGCAGTGCATTTCCGCAGTTTTGTATTGTTTCTGAATATCCCCTACTTTTTTTGAAGAGTATACATATACTGGATATATATTGAAAACATGTTTTTTTGTCCAAACGACTACAAACTTTCTCGGCCAACATTGGGATCAAACCTAGGAAACCCTGGTTAGTGGGCCATCACCTTACTCACTGAGGCACTCTGGATCCCTACTGCATAATAAAGGAGGTTGGGGGGTGGCAAAAAGGGTTAAACATGCGCTTTAGATCTTAAGGTCTGTCATTGAGGCAAGTGGCATGGTTTCGATTGTCCACATGCACTTGACAAGGTTGGTTTTCTCTGAGTCCTCCGGTTTTCTACCACTGCTAAAGAAACCCTACAACCTAGCAAATTATTGATATAAAATTGAAGCATGTGTTAGTCTCTCTCTGTCTACTAAAGGGAAATCGTCGTCTAATCAACCTGTCATTTAAACACTGTAATAACTGTTTTTACACATCACATTTTTCAAAATTGCTGGCACTTTCCAAGAAGTTATAAAGATGAAATCACCATTAAAACCAATCGGCTATTCGATAAGTCAAGTTCTACTATGTTGTTTCATTGCCTGGCAACCTATCTTTTGTATAGGATGGTGAAAGGTTACCATGCACATATTCAATTACTAGTACAGACAAAAAAAGTTAGAAAGAAAAAAAAAGAACTTCATAACATATTCAATTACCAGTACAGACAAAAAAACTTAGAAAAAAAAAAAAAAAAAGAACTTCATACTTATGAATTATAAGACAAAAAACCCCACCACTCAGACTGGTAAATTGGCTCTTTTAATACTTTATGCTGCTTTTATAACATCCGTTATTGCAGGAATGTTGTTTTCCTGAGAATAAAGCCAATTTAATCAGCAATTATTCCATGCGGAAATGGAACTTATCGACTTATTTTTTTGCACTGAATAGGCTAATGAAGACTGGGCTAATGAAGACCGGCATACACCATTGCACAGTGGTGCTATGAGCTAAAGTTTACTTGGACCGAGGCGCTATGACCTACTCTTAATTCAATTTCCAACTTTAAGCAGATCTAAAACATACATAATACACAAGATCTTGGTTTTTCATCCCATCTAGAAACTATTCCATGTCAAGGGAAAACCTGGTTGGAAAATCATCAAGAAATTTTATGGCCAACACCAGAATCTAACCAAGGATCATTTCCTGTTAGTATAGTCACTGAGCCACTATTTCTTGGATTAAGGCACAGGTTTTAGGGGCTGCAGCCAGCCCTGGAGCTTCTTACAATCTGAATGACCTCCAATGATTAATTGAAAGGTTATTTCATTTATGAATATTACCACACTGTACTGTATATCTGGGATGGCTGGTAGGTAACTCTTCTAGACTAGTGACCCGGCAGTACCTGTAGCCCAGGAGCCTACAAAATCTTAATCCGGCTCAGTTTGAGAAATGAAATGGGGTTTGATGTCCTATTTATCTGTACCGTCATGCCTAATGAAGACAGGCATATGCTATGCAGTGTCCTATGTTGGACATTTTGTCTGGACAGTGGCATTACAGCCTACTCTTATTTCAAATTCCAACTGTCAAGGGTTCTTTCACTTGTATGCCAATGTGTACACAAGACCTGGGTTTTTTCGTCCCATTGTCCTTGTAAGGCCCTCCATCCTGCACCACTGACAAAGGGAAACCATGCTAGAAAATCCTCAGGAACTGTCTTAGTGAATCTCCTGGTTTCTTTGCTTGAGAAAGAGAAGAATAAATATTTGAAGTTTACCTGTCGTCTTATGTAGTTAATTAATTTTACTTTCTGGTAAAAATTCAGATTCAATTTAAGCTTCAGTTCATGAAGGTCAAAATCATGTAGTTCCTGAAAAATTAAATAAAAAATATAGCAATCATGAAACCCTTTGAGTTTTTGTCATTTTCAAATAAATAACTGACTGCCGTTAGTCAATTCTGTAATAGAAATGAAATGAAATGGGGTTTAACATCCTACTGTTCTGCTAATGAAGATGGGCATAAGCCATACAGTGTGCTATGAAGGAAATTTTTCCCAGGCAGCGGCACTATCGCCTACTCTTATATCGAATTCCAACTGCCAGGGGATCTTTTACGTGCACAGCAATGTATACACGGGTCCTCAGTTTTTCGTCCCATCAGAATGACTTGACAGCTGGTCTTGTCAGGATCTCCGTTCTGCACCATTGACAAGGGGATACACACCGGAAAATCGTGATGAACTTTCTTGGCCAATGCAGGGATCGATCTTCTGTGATATAATGTTGATATATGTCTACAGGAGTATCATTGTACAGACCCCATGTAATGATGTTAGGGCAGACCTGACCCCATGTAATGATGTTAGGGTAGGCCTAACAACATGTAATGATTTTAGGCAGGTCTGAGCCCTGATGCATTGTAACGGCAAGCCTGACTCAATGTAATGACGTTAGGCAGGTCTGACTCCCACGTAATGATGTTACGGCAGGCCTTACCCCACGTAATAGCGTTATGACAGCCCCCATGCAATGTAATGATGTTAACAGCAAGTCTGACCCAACGTAATGATGTTACGGGAGGCCTGACCCAGACCTGACCACGTAATGATGTTATGGCAGGCCTGACCACATAATGATGTTATAGCAGGCCTGACCCCGTAATGACGTTATGGCAGGCCTGACCTGGTAATGACGTTACGGCAGACCTGGAAATAATGATTATAGTTGTACCTGACAAAATGTCCAATAGGGAATGTTAAACCCTTTTCTCTTTGTACAGTATGAGAGTTTTATTTGAAGCCTGTTTTTGACCAAATGTCATTTAAAGGGGGGATATTTACAGATCTGGAAATAATGACTTGACTTGTACCTGACAAAATGTCTGGCATTAATGAACTACTACCTGACATTTAAAACTTTGTGTATTAAAAATATTATTCAAAACACAAATATGTGTCAGACCAATTGACATGGACCAGAGTGATTCAATCTGATCAAAATACAGATCTATATTTCGTTTTGTTATTTATACTTTCGATGGACTACACTACATGAAAATCTGACCGGTTGTAGCGATAGGTCACGTCAGAGGCTTTTGACCCTATGACGTCAGACATTTGATTAACCAATCTGCATTGATGTTACTAGTGGATTACCCACAGTTTCATGCAAAACACGCCTAAAGTTCGCCATAACAGACGGTTTCATTGGCTAATTCCTCACTTCATTCAGAACACGTCAATGATAACAACTCTTCCAGATCCTAGCGTAGTAAAGACAAGTAAAACGATATTTTGAACTATAAAAATGAAACGAAATAGGATCTGTGTTTTAATCAGATTGAGAGAGATTGTGTCTGGTAAACAGTGAATTTGTGACTAACACGTGCCTTGTTTCTAGTTATATCAAGTTCACTAAAAGACACATAACAACTTCTGTTTGAAGACGAGCGCTGATCTGATTTGCTGTGATGACACGATTTCTCAAGGCCAAGGTACGGATAAATCGATCCTGGGCTTGAGTTGTCGCCCTTGGTCGACCTGAGCGTGGTCTGTCCTGTACAGATTGTGTATCACGGTATCTGGACCATAGCCTGCTTATGACAGACTGAGAAACATTCATCGTCCGCGCCACTACCGCCTGTGTTGTGCCGATCCGTAGCATGCCAAGGGCACGTAACCTTTCATTTTGGGTAAGCCGACGCATATCAAAATTTGTTTTCTGGTCACTAAAACAATTAAACTGATGTTTCCACCCTGGAATTCAATGCCACAATGACTGTAACATTCAAAGTCAGAGTCGTGCAAATCTTGGGTTGGACCCCCATGATGATCCCAAGCATCACCTGCATTCCATGCGGTAGCTATTGGTGCGTTTGGGCATCACATGTAACTGGAAATGTTTCTTCTGTTAGGTTCTATAGTGACTTTTTTCGTAGTCATTTGCATATTTTAGTATTATGCCCCCAAAATCAAATATCCCCTACTTTTTTTGAATAGTATACATAGCAACAATATAAATTCAAGCCATATAATATTCATATCAGTGTGTTTTCTATTCGTATGCCAGCATCATCTTGCATTTAAAAAAAAAACGAACACAATTTCTTTTGTAGATGTAAAAATACCCATCTTTCATTTCAAACAAAATATATAAATTATTAATCGTTTATCGCTAAAATCAAATCATGCCGAAGGTAGTGAAACGTTTTGAGATTTTATCGCTTAAGTTTAATCATGTGAAACGTATTGAGATTGTATAATAACTGAGTAGAAAGGATGTTAAGCCTGGTTAAAGATGCATTATGCTGGGGGGGTAGGTGGCCGAATGGTTAGCACGTGTGAGCTGTATCATAAGGTCTGTCATTGAGTGGTTTCAATTGTAAGGGACAAGGAGTAGGGTCGCGGTTGCCTGTCCAACCTCGTGGGTTTTCTCCGGGTCTTCTGGTTTCCTCCCACTGGTAAAGACCCGTACGTGCAAGCGAATGATTGAAATAAAATTAAATCATGTAATTGATACTCCATTAAACCAAGTATACATATCAAAATAAAGGAAGAAGCAATTTGATACATCCGCTGTCTTCCAGTAGTTTTTTTTTATATAAAATAGAAATACATAGTCCTCAGTTACGGCAAATGCCCCAGTAGTCAGCTAATGTTTTTTTTGTTTATGTGATTCACCATGTAACAAATACTAGTATTTATTTAATTTTATTATTATTTGGGTAAGAGGGGGGGGGGGGTGGCCCATTGGTTAACGCATGCATTTTAGATCAAAAGTTCTGTCGTTGAGTCAAGTGACTTGGTTTCGATTTCCCGCTTGCACGTGACAAGGAATGGGGTCGCCATCTAACCTCGTCCACTGGTTTCCTCCCAAAGCTAAAGACCTTATGTGCAAGCGAATTATAGTTTGTTTCGAGTGGGCGTAAAATCCAATTTATCTTTTTCTCTCTCTCCCTGGACTGTTTTGACAATAATTGACTTTGGTTGTTTATTCCATAGAAAAGGTCTAGCATAGGACAAAGCACGTTTTCCAAGATGTAAGTTAATATTTGGAGATTTTAGAAGATGTACTGTCTGAGAACTGAGATTTCTACTGGTAGTGCAGGTCTTTACAATATTTTTTAAAATATAATATGTGAATTAATTATATTCATTAAATTTAATTTAATTTTCTTTGAGCATGGTGACGGTCGTGGTGTTGTTGGTTGTGCTGCTAATAGTGGTTGTAGTGTGGGGTGTCAGTGTTATAGAAATTATATTCGTTGATTTTTGTCAATATTTTCCATTTCTTATGTTTATTACATTATATTTCTTTGAGTTAAACGTAATTGAAATGGGATTTAACGCTAGACTGGGCTAATGAAGACAGGCATATGCCATATTGTGTCCTATGAGGAAAATTGTGCCCGGGACCAGTGCTACGCCGGCCTACTCTTATATCAAATTCTAACTGCCAAGGATTCTTTTTCGTCTCATCCGAATGAGTATACGTTGACCAAGGCCCTCTGTCCTGCACCAGTGACAAGGGGGAACCGCACCGGTGGATTTCAGTGGATTTTCAGAATGATGTACAGTGAAAGGTCATCTACATGTTGGTACCAAAAGACCTAACGGAATTTGTGGTGGGTCTTTCGGTATTTTGATTAGATTAATACTCAAATAGACTATAGCAAGATTAGATGCATGCATATAACTGTATAGAAATGTTCCATGTGAGCAATTGCGGGACATTTTGGCTGATTTTCGGGACGCGGGACTTTGAAACATTTTGCGGGACCGTCGTCACCCTAGCTAAAACTTAACTTCGAACAACCAGTAAGGTGGTTGTAATTATTGCATACGTCTTGTCAAACCTTCAAAGGCTAATATCTTTGCTCACAATAGAGTAATTTGAATGAAATTTTCAAATTATTCATTTTACATTATCTATTTTCAAACTGTTATAGATGGCTAGGTCTTTATCTAAATCTTACATAATGTATCTTTGATATCTTAATATAAAACCAAAATTGGTCTAAAGCACACACTTAAGACCCATATTCCGCATCCCCCCCCACCACCACGAATGATCAAATTAATACGCAAGAACAACAATGATTGAACTTGTCAATTGAGAAAACTAAACATGTACCAAGATATACGAAAATGTCAAAAACATCAATTTACTGAGCAGAGAAAAAGACACAAAAAAGTTTTCGCAGGGCTATAGTCACAGTTTGGCTCAAGATTCGCATACTCCCACTTACTTGCATGTGTGCTTTTAACCTGTCTGGATGACTGGATGAAAATTCACAAAACAAACAAACAGCTTGTGCTCCTGACTCTTCTTTCCAGTTATACCAATCTCTACAATATAAAAAAACAAAACATTTTGCTAGCTATATTATCAATTCATAAAATGATCAATACCTCCTTCTTGCATTGAATAAAAACATGATTATCCCCCTCCTTTGATCTTGTTGTTGTCATGTATGGTTTCATGATTTGTTGTTTTAGATTTTTCTGTACATATTTGCCTCACATTTTTGTATTACTGGGGGGGTGGGGGGGGTGGGGGCCCTGCGCATGCGCTAAGATAATGGAAAAAAAAAAAAGACTTGTCTGCGATATCACCTTTGGTGGAAGCGAACATTAAACACTAAGAACAACAACATTGTATTACTGTATTAGCTTGATAAAGTTGAGAGAGCACTCTTCGAAACGTCGCCTAAATAAATCAGTAATTGTTCTTCCATAAATATATGTGTTATATAGTTTATTGCTCTATCCAGTTACTAAATGCCTCTAAAAGATTAATAATATATTATAGTTATCTACGGACTACTGTATCCTACACACAGTTTCTTTAAACATACATTATGCAAGAACCAAATCTTCCAATTGCCGGTCTTTCTTAAGGCCTGAAATGTTATCTAAATTATTAATTAGACATTAATTAACTTATCCAGACCATAATCAACTCTCGATGGCATCGCTAGCCTGCAATATTTACTGGATTATGATCCCATTTGCTACTTGACTTTCATTCATAATTTAATCATGAAATGGATGATCGAGACTATGTTTTTTATCGAACAGACCTTTAGTAATGACGATCGAGGCTAGGCCGAAATTTCAATCCCTGAATTCTCATGATTTAATCATGAAATGGATGATAGAGACTTTGTTTTTTATCGTACAGACTTTAGTAACGATGATCAAGGCTAGGCCGAAATTTCAGTCACTTAATTCTCGGTTCATAGTGGACCAATTTGACTGAAATTGTCAGCAAATTCCCTTTACATTATCTAGTTTTTAACTATTATAGCGAGAACTGCCAGTTCTTTATCTAATCTCCCATAATGTATCTTTAATACAGAGTTTGAAAACTTAAGAGTCAAAATAGTTAGTACCCAAAAGATAAACAAGGAATATTATCAGTGTTGTAGTACTGTGGGAAGAGCGTTACGAATTTGATTGGGAGGATGAACAGGATTGCCTTTCTCTTGGATCATAATGATTTCTATCATGCAAAAATCTACATATCTATTTTTTACTCTAGATCAGGTTATAAATATCTAAAAGACAAATCATATCATTTTTAAGTTATCTTGGTGTATAATATCACAGTCTCTTTGATGGTCTGATTCTTGAAGGATATCAGCTAAAAATAAAACAGCCGTGAACGATAGTTTACACATTTAACCATGTGAGAAACTCAATCAATGATATGATTGTATAGACATTTTCTTTTGGGGGTTAACAAAAAAAATCAGATCCTTTTCTAGATGGTATAATTATAATCCTTCACCCTTAAACTGTAGATTTAGGTGGGGTTGGATGGCCGAATGGTTAGCACGTGTGTGCTGTATCATAAGACCTGTCATTGAGTCAACTGGCGTGGTTTCGAATCCCCGGTTGTACGTGACAAGGAGTAGGGTCATCTGTCCAGCCTCATGGGTTTTCTCCGGGTCCTCCGGTTTCCTCCCACTGCTAAAGACCCCTACGCGCAAGCGAATTATTGAAATAAAATGAAACCATATGACAGTCCCGAAATGACCTAGTTTGTGTCGAGTGGACGTTAAACCCCATTTCTCTCTCTGTAGATTTAGCCACCAATGATCCTATGTGGTTCAGAAGGTAAATACAGGTTTTTATATTGCAAGTATTTTGAAGTTCTAAGATGGCGCTATTGGAATCCCATGGCAACTACATTATTGTGAAACTTTAATCTCTAATGGAAATAAGGGGGGTTGGGTGGCTGAATGGTTAGCACGTGCGCGCTGTACCATAAAGTCTGTCATTGTCCAACCTCGTGGGTTTTCTCCGGGTCCTCCGGTTTCCTCCCACTGCTAAAGACCTCTACGCGCAAGCAAATTATTGAAATAAAATTAAACCATGTGTTAGTCCCGAAATGACCCAGTTTGTGTCGAGTGGACGTTAAACCCCATTTCCTCTCCTCTTCCTAATGGAAATATTGGTCCAAAAATGATTACCATTGGTGAAAGCACCACTCAGGTTATGTTTAACGATATGTGGAATGGAAATTTCATCGATCTATGCTGCTCGAGTGACACCATCATCAGTGCTGGATTAACCATAAGGCAAATAAGTCACGTGCCTTACGGCCAGTCAAAAATCCAGGCCACAAAATAATAAAGTAAAACTTTTTTGATAATTATCAGGTGGTGACAAAAATGCTTGCCTTTATTTTTATGTAAATAAATTGCATCCTTCTTCATCTACGTGTTTGTCCTTAAAAGCTTTCCATACTCTGGCAAAGGGTTGACATGATGTTTCGTCCCTTTACACACGTGAGGTTTGTTTACATATGTTGTGGGAAAGAATCTTGTAAGTAATTTCATATATTTTAAAAATTTTCATTAATTTCGCAATTGACATTAGATGTATTTCACAGAATTATAAACATGCATAGATCAACATAGCGAGTGAAACATTGTCGAAAACAAGCTGATATGACTAGGGAACCCCTATTTTCAGGCCACCTATCAAAATGTGCCTTAGGGCCAGCAGAGCCTTAATCCGGCACTGACCGTCATATCTTATTGGCAAGTGAGAAACCTGAAGAGAAGTTTAAATCTGACTGAATCCAAGACAGGAGCGTATCTAGTATTGGTATTTGGATTTTGTTTTCTTAATTAAATGTTAAATAATCAATCTGAGTACATATTTAGCAAGTTCAATTTGGACTGTTCACATATTAAATACATTTTTAACAAGCGGTTGCCATGTACAATCAAGGACCATAATCTAGGATATTACGGTCAAACATACGCAAATTTCAACCAAAATCTTTGAGATATAAACATAAATTTTAAGTTTCTTCAAAATAGATTAAAATTGTGACCTATAGTGTCCACAAGCTAAAAATATAATTTTTTGGACAATCAGGGGCAATAATCCATGAAGTTACCGTCCAATACGTATGGCAATATCGAAAGGGACCAAGATCTTTGAGGTATAAACCTATATTCCCAGTTTCATCAAAATTGGATAAAAATTGTCTACAAACAAAATGTGACCAAATCACTTTATATACATTCTTATAACATTAATATGTACTTTTAGACACATTTTTGTCTATTTGAAGGTTCCATTGAATAGATCCATATGTCCTTTAAGCAATTAATGTGTACTTCTTAACAAATTCTTGCCTATTTTAAGGTTCAATTGAATATGCCATACGTCCTTTAAGCAATTAAACTAGATATCAGATTTTAATAAATCAGATTTTTATGTATTCTTGGCAAGCAACAGAACAATGTTATAGCTGTTGTTCTTCAGAAATAAAATTCTTTGGAGTATTTCTTAGTGCATTTGCATCTGGAACTAATATTGATTTATTCTACATTTCATATAAAATGTAACCTATTAATAGAGAATCTTTTCTTAAAGGTACATTATGTAAGATGTAGTTCTAGCTATAATAGTTCAAAAATAGATAGTTAAAAATAAATATATTGAAAATTGTTACAAAAAGTCTCCATGTTTACATTAAATTTCTTGCTACAATAGATCAAAAATAGATAATTAAAAATGAATATACTGAAAATTGTTACAATAATAAACAAAGTCTCTATTATCCATTCTTACATTAAATTATTAAATAGAGATTGTGTTTTAATCTATTCAAAATCAAGGCAATCCAATGATCAAGAGAGTTAATTATGAGCTTGTCATATGAATATATATTTGAAGCCAGAAAATAGACTTGCAATAGGCAGATTTAGCTTTTACATAATAAATCTTTAATAATACAATGGAGATTGTCATCGAATACTGGCCATATGCCCAATTACAAGATAACAGGAAATATAAAATAGTCTATGGCCACCTGATTAAAGAAAAACTATAATCAGAAATCCAAATTAACAAAGTTAATAATAATAATAGCTAATGAAACTCCTTTTTCCTTTTAAGACCATAATAAATGTATGTAAACTTAATTTTCCTGTTATAGATTAGTGTAGCTATTTCTAAATTCTTAATGTTAATTTTTTTTTTTTTTTTTTTTTTTTTCAATTCTATAATAGGTTTACAAATAAACAAATTAAAAACAGAGCTGCAGTGGCTCAGTGAGTAAGACATTGACTCGCTTATCTGGAAAACCTGTGTTTGATCCAAGGAAAGTGCATCAGGATTTTCTGGTGTGGTTCCACTGTTTCAGGATTGTAGGTCTGGCAAGGGACGATGTATAGTTAAGTTGTTCAGATGGAGAGAGAGAGAGAGAGAGAGAGAGAGATGGGGTTTAACATCCACTCGACAAAAACTAGGTCATTTCGGGACTAACATATGGTTTAATTTTTTATTTCAATAATTTGCTTGCGCATAGGGGTCTTTAGCAGTGGGAAGAAACCGGAGGACCCGGAGAAAACTCACGAGGTTGGACAGGCGACCCTACCCCTTGTCACGTACAACCGTACGTCAGTTGACTCAAAGACAGACCATATGATATGTTCAGATGGAACGAAAACCTGGGTCCTGTATATACACTGGGGTGCACGTAACAGAACCCTTAGCAGTTGAACTATGATATAAGAGTAGGCCGTAACACTGCTGTCTGGGCAAAAATTTATGTTGTAGCCCATTGCACTGTGTATGTATGCCTGTCTTCATTAGCCTGAATGAAGCAGAGATGTAGGACATAAACTCCATTTCATTTCATAAATTAAAAATAGAAAATCAAAAAAATTAGTTTGTATTTGAGCTTCCATGGATGTTTTCTTAAAATAATCATTAATGTTTTCTTTAAATAATCATTAATTGTTTTTCCAAATATAATTTTTTTTTTCCTAAAATAATTATTAATTTTTTTCTAAAATAATCATTAATTTTTTTCTTGAAAT